CGGTCCACCACTTTGGTCCAAAATGAAATATCTCAACAACCTCTTGATTGATTGCCATAAAATTTGCGTTCTCAGACGATGTATTTATATGATGCTGGCGATCATTTGACTTTCTTCTAGGTCCACCATGAAGTTGAGTGAATTTTGAGTGAAATGTCTTGACAGCTATTGGATGGATTGAAGTACGTTGGAATACATTTTTGGCTATGCTAGCATTATGGCTGTAGGGATGGCAATAATCAGTTAGTCAGTCCACCACTACTTTGGTAACGTCTGGACTGATAGCTATTTGAGAGATTTGATACAGACCTTCATGCCCCCCTCAAGATGAATTGTTAATACTTGATGACATTCCCATCATCCTCAGCTCTACTTTTTTGTTTAAGGCATTGTCATAGATAACTTTATTTAACCAGGAAAGGGCCTCACTTATGAACATCAGGGCTGCCAACTTTTCAATTTAGTTTGGATTGAGATTCGGTATTGCAGAGGTCTGTGCATTTTATGAGCAGGCCTTCTGTGACATTACCCATGTCAGGGGTTGGGGTCTGTTTTGTTCTACTGGGAGCAATGACATGGGGTTATATGATGGGTCTAAATTATCTCTGCCTTTATCTAGTACGAGTGCAATATTAGGTTCATACAGCAGCTGAGGGAGCGATCCAGATGAAGTGCTGAGTTTTATCATTTGTAATATAAAGGCGGATAGTAATTTAGAGAAGGCCTTTGTCCAACTCGTTATTAGCTTTGTTATTCGGGAACTATTTTATCACCTCTTGTAATTCCTACAAAGTAATTTTACATTAGAAATTTTCCTTGGAGATCCACATCGCCATAAAATCATTAATCATTTCAGAATTACACATTAAGACAATTTTAAGATTAATTCTTTAATATTGCATTTGAAGCTTGAGTTGAGCAAGTAGTTTGACTTTAATCTAAAAACTTGCATGACATGATTTGGGTTAATCCCTTAAATTGTAAAATAGTTTTTGCTTTAATATGCCAGTGTATCTGGACTGACAGAATTGTAGGCTATTATTTTCATGCCTCAGTGCCACAAATAGATTTCATATTATCAGAGTGTGAAGCAGCTCTGGCTGCTGGTAATTACTGTCTCTTCAATCTCCCTTTCTCTTAATTTGCCAGAGAGAACCAGTCTTGTTGTGATAGATGTATAGAGTCTTTCTCAAAGATATTAACCCCCTCAACTGGGTCTGACTCACTGGTGGATTCATTATTACAAGCTCATATTGCGCAGCTGAGTAGTGTTCAAACCCACTGAACATTTTAAACTCTAGATAAGATCCCAAACTTTCCAAAGATATAAATATATCAAGCTAAAATTTGGGGGAAATGTGTAAAAAATTATATTTTGATTTGATGTAATGGTGTCAAAGTACAGTACAGTATTAGGGCTGCAACTAACAATTATTTTCATTATTAATCAGGCTATTTTCTCAATTCTCAATCATTTGGTCTCTAAACATTAAAAATTCTAGAGCCATCAGATGTCTTGTTTGGTCCAACCAACAGTCCAAACCCCAAAAGTACTTAATGCACTGTAATATAAGACAAGATAAAGCATCAAATTCTCATATTTGAAGCTGAAACCAAAAATTTGGCAGTTTAGCGAGAACCAATTCATTTGCAACTGGTTACACAACAGAAAGACATAACTAGAATGGCTTTCAGAGACAAAACTAAACAATAGTAATTATGTTTATTTTAGTCAAATATTAGTGCTTATTCAAGTGTTTTGTAGCGCATTAAAGAAAGTTATGAAGGATTCACTGTCACAGAAAAATCACCAGGTGTGATTTGACATTGTTCAGTGTACAAAGGACTTTCATATCTAGGTTGTGCTGAGGCAGTTCAAAATCTCTCTCTGAGGGGCGGTGATCTGCTCAGCAGCAGGGCTGGAGTAAAAATGTGCACATCTCTGCATCTTGTGAAACAGCTGGTCATGCTGTTTTTAAATGAGGATTAATAGACTTACATCTAAGATAGAGGCTACTGACCAGTAAACACACGTGCTGTTTGTGGAAAAAGTCAGCAAGAACAGCAGTGGAATGGTAACGGGTTTGTTAAACAATTGGTACGTTTGTGTATAGTGAAAGAGATTTTTCATTTGGGGTTCTGAGGACAAAGTGAAAAGTACTTCTGAAGTGTTCTGGGTCAAATTCAACCCAACATAACCTCAGTGACATCTCACACACTCAACACTTTAACATTCCCATCAGGTGGCCGGTGATTGGCGCTGCCTGTCAGACAGTCCTGTAGATTTATGACGGCAGATCCTGATGGCCTCCCATGTCGCTCATTAGGCATCTGAACAAAGTCTTTGTCTCACTGGATTGTGGCGAAATTAATAGAGCTCCAAATCTGGGTTTTCAATCTGTACAACCAATACACTCTATCCTTAGACCCTCGTTCGGGTAAAGAAAAACCAAATGGCCTGGCTCTTAGTAAAAGTAATTTGTATGTACTGAACTTGGCTGGAAGGCACACATTACTGAAGAAGTTAATTACTGCGTAGGTGAAAAAGGACAACGGTGTGGTTATATATTATGAACTGCAGGGCACATGCAGCAACACTAGGGATGGCCAGATCAATACAAAGTGATGAACTCATATTCAGACACCGGTCAGTTCGCATTACCACCTATTAAAAGTATCAGTTTCAAAGATGGAAAATGTACTTTGTGGATTTCTGCTCTTCAATTGCTTATGTTTGTGTAAATGAGGAATGTAAACATGGCAGCTAAATGGAAATCAATTTAAGTGCGTGTGTAAAGTGATGACCTTCTTTTTCCATGTGATATGCAGTAGAACAAGTGTAAATGTTCATATTTGTTTAATTTAGATTTTAACTCATTTTGTGAAAAAGTTGACCTGTATATTAATAATTTCAATAGAATGATTGATTACTATCATGCAAAAAAAAGAACACAATCACTATCTGGAATATTGTAGCATGAAACATAATAGAACAGTAATAAATCAACGTAGATATAGAAAGTTAGATATACTGTCATTACATTTGTCTTTAATCTTTTTTTTTCCCAGTTTCTCTTTAAATAGTCTTCCTTAATTAACACCAACATCTCAAGACAGTATATAAACCAGCTTGGCTCTCTATGGGTTCACTTCACTGTTACCTCTTGTGTGTTACCTTAGATCTTTTACTTAAGTAAAAGTTCTAATGCCGCACTGTGAAAATAACCCACAAGTAAAATCCTGCATTCAAAACCTTTCTTAAGTCAAAGTATGCAGGTATTATTAGCAAAATTTACTATTAAAAGTACTCATTATGCTGTCAATGTATAATACTTCTGGATTAGTATTACTGTTGTGTAGGTTGTATTTTAGTGCTGTAGTTGTTTAAGCTAATTTGAACTTCCTTGCATATTGTTCGTATTCATGATGTCATGCATTATATTCTATAATAACAGTAGTTTATAGTGTTGCTATGTCAGATGTCAACTTTTCTGCTTTCAGCTTTGTAATGATGTATTTTCCAGATACGTGGTTTTCACTGGACAGGAAGGGTATGAAAGAGAACTAGTAAGTACGACAAATGTAGTTGAAAGTACAATATTGCAGATATTGTAGTGCAGTAGAAGTATAAATTTGCAGAAAATAGAAATTCTTAAGGAAAGTAAAAGTACCTTGAATTTATAACAGAACCATACTTGCTGCTTTCCACCACTTGTGTAATGCGTACAGTAACTAAGGTTACACATTTCTTTTGCTTTTCAGTCCTTGCTCTCCTCACTGCTGGTTGCCTGTAATGTTGCCAGTAAGGCTGGATTATCAGCCGGGCAATGCCTCCAGGCCCCCAGACAGCTCAATGTTCAAAATGCCAGGTGGTCTGTAATATTAAAGATGTTGCAAATGTGTTTGGAAAATACAGAACTAATCACACATACCATAATGAGTTCTAGCTGAGGGCCTCTGTGTCAAAATCTACATGGTGTACATTCCTAAAGAGATTATAATTTTTATCCAACTCACCAGGGGTCAGTGGGTACCCACACAAATCATGGCCCTGAAGGCTCCTAGTGGGCTAATTGGGGATTGTCAGTGGAGGAATCTTAGCCATTTTACTAGCCAAATGCCTGAAATGTCAGGTATTTTTGGATATTGACAGCCCTGAGGATTGTCTCTGGTCAGTCCTGTAGCTGCTGCTACTGCCATCTTGTGGTAAATTTCTACCACTTCATACCTTTTTTTTTTTTTTTTTTTTTTTTATCTCAAAACCACCATCGGCCTTACATTTTTAGTTGCAGCAAACTGACGTGAAAACAAACACATTAACTCTGGGAATTAGAGCAGGAGACAAAAAATTTAAATGAAGAGCTCTTAACAGAAGTGTTGGAGGTGTCTGGGCACATATTTGAAAATCATTTGCAAATCATCTGGCCATGTGAAAAGATTAAGATATTTTGGGAGAACCTCAAGAGACATTTAGATTATGAGATCATCAAGAACAGCAACATATTTCATCTCTGATTGATAACGGATGAAGTAGCATTAAGAAGAAGCCTTCATCTCGGTTAAAATCTACTGGCTGCAGAAAAAAAAATGGAACCTCCCAGACTAAAACATTTGAATGAAAAACTGATGTTGGGAGTAATGGAAAACAGTCCCTAAAATGACATTATATCTGGATCCAGTAGCAGATATAATTGTTCATTATTAATGTATCCGTCAACAGCAATAACTCATGTTTGTGCCCATAAGAGGCGGCTAGTGTACAAACAAATAATGATACAGTAAAACAGTTGTAATAAAATGTCTTCATACAAGTTAAAACTGTTGACACTGCATCAATGAGCACAGTGTCAAACAAATGTGAAACTACTTTTCTTAGACAGATTTGTAAAAACAACACGACACATTTGACTGTGGATATTTCAGTAAGTAAGCTGCAGATATAACAACAGCGATAAATCCTTAAATCACTGATAGAAGTAGGAAAAAATGCACAGAGTTGGTTGTTTTTGACAGATGACATTTATTCTCACCAGGCATCTGACATTAGAATCGCTACAGAGTCTGTCAATTGAGAATGGCTACTAAAACTCCAGAGGGGAAATTCCCAGGATATGTGGAACAGGGACAGCATAACAAACAAAACAGAGAGGGTGGGGGACATAACTAACCGTAGGCCACTAAACATAATCTGCCACCTCACTGGAGGAAAAGGTCCGTCCACTTTTTTAAAGCACCTCTCGGTTCTCGTGTGAGACTGCGTTCAGATCGGTGGTCCCACAAAACTAACATTCAGTCAGATTTTTTTTTTTAAAAATACATTGTTTACATACACTAGATATGTACCCCAATAATGCCTACAACTGCTGTTTCACTGAACATTCATAAGTGACAGCACACAATCGCAATAAACAGATCAGTTACATCAGGGAGACCACAAGTGTCTCCAGGAAGTCCCCACAAGGATCTGAACTGGGAGACAGACATCGGTCAACATGGCTGGGCTTACAACACTGGCAGAGTCTGAAGGCCTCTCCTCTCCAAAAACAAAAAGATACTATTACATATATATACACATTGCTCGGTACTGAGCGGACTTCACCCGGAGTCCATGAAAAGAAGCCCTCTCATAGGGTTGAAGAAGGTGAGCGCAGCATGGGTGTTAGACGACAAGTCAGTAGTGTAGGTTCAGTGAGTGCTAACTGCAATGTGAAGAGTGAGCATACGTTTTTACATAGGATGAAATAACATAGACAACAAGTGTAGAATATCCTCAAACATTGAACCTGCTCACATTTAAGAAGGATTAATTGTATCTCAAAGACTAATTATGTCGGTTTTCACAAGTGCGCAAGAGTTAAAGGAATAGTTTGACATTTTGGGAATTACGCTTATTTGCTTTCTGCCAGCAGTCAGTCAGCTTAGCTTAGCTTAGCTTAAAGACTGGAAGCAAATGGGAAACAACTAGCCTGTTTCTGGCTGAAGGTAACAAAATCTGCCTAGCAGCACCTCCTTATTTTGTTTGTTTAATCCAGAAATTGTCATTTGTCATCTGCACAGATCAAACAATCATTAGTGAGCTCTAGAGGTGCTGTTGGTCAAATGTGTTGGAAGAACCAAGCTAGCCGTTTCCACGTTTCCACACTCTATGCTTAGCTAAGCTAACCAGCTGCTGATTGCAGCCTTATATTTAACAGTCTGATGTGTATCGTCAAACTCACATCAATTAAGCAAATAGGTGTATTTCCCAAAATGTCAAATCTTTGCTTTAAGTGGGACTGTTAATGTTCAGTGTGTTCTGTTCACGAGTGCAGTGCAGGACAGCAAAGACGACAAGTTTTCACAATTTTGGTCGCTGATCTTAAACAGCTGCAGAAATTGAGCAGCACAAAAGCAGGAGAGGAAAGTTAAGGGGAACGGTGATTTGTCTTTTTCACATACAGTAAAGCCACTTGTGTTATATGGTGGAGAAAGGGAGCACAGGGACATTGGTTCTGCTTCGAGTGCAACAATCCCAAGAAACCAGAGAACTGGGTTGCGAAGACCAGCTACCAACCCGTTAGCTCTGTCACCTTTTTCTCCTCTAACACTTACTCCCTATTTTTCCCTAATCTAACAAAACACACTGCTACCCTTTTCCGGGGTAACAGTGTGTCTGCAGGTGTACTTTATCCTGCTACAGCGCTAAACAGAGCTGAGCAGCATAGATATTGATAGTGTGTTTGTCGGGTTCAACTCTTAAATGTCTTGTGAATAAAAGTTCTTATCATGATCCACAGTGACATATTGTCTACAGCGCAAAAGACATAAAGATGAGTTTATGCTGCAAAGAGTCATTAACACTATGGTGAACGGCAACTGATTACCACGACCCTCTGAGCATACAGAGTCTAAGAAAAATAATTATTATGCTAGTTTAATGTTTAATGTCCTGCTGGGTCAGTCATACAGGTTACATGGCATAGAAGGTACGCGTTTTAGGAGTCAGCATTGGGCTTGATAAGTTAGGAGTCAAAGTGCAGGGCAGCAGCATCAAAAGATGCTGTTAATATCCTTCCAGAATCAAACCCGGCAGGTGGCGCTGTGTTCAGTTACTGGCCACCTCGTCCGCATTGTCAACCACCTCTATGGTGCTGTCCAGTCCACCACGTGCACGCCAGATCTTCACAGTCCGGTCACTGGAAGACAGGAACATGAAACATAATTCAGATGCACACAGATAGCAAGCTACTTGTTTGATGCTACATAATCTTGCAGACCCTAGTTGATGAATAAAACTCTGGTCAGTCTCTGTTGACTTAAATGGATGTATTTTTATTACAGAACAAAAGCCGACACCACACACATCGAGTACCTTTTACTAGCCTCGATATACCCATGAAAACACCAAAATCCAGTCAGAACAAGTTTCCAACAAGCATATCTCAAGAAATGTATCCTAAAAATAACAGACATAGAAATTGTGTGTTGGTGTGTGCGAGACTCACTCTGAGGCGGTGAACAGGTGGCTGCTGTTGGTAGAGATGCTGTTGATGGGGCTCTCGTGACCCTTCAGCTCCCCCAGAGTCCCCAGAGTGTCTGTGTGCCACAGCTTGAGCACCCCACCTCTGCAGCCGCTCAGCAGGGCTGGGGACCCAGGGACAACACCCAGCGCACACACCCAGTCACGGTGGGCGTTCGGGACTTGCTGTTGGCGAGAATGATTAAAGATTTTACTCTAGGGTCTACTGAAAATTTGCATGAATGACACTAACTTTCTTAAACTTTACCCTGACTTGTGAGGGCTTGGTACTCTCATAAGTAGGACAGATAAACTAAACAAGTCTCTCTGCAGATGACGTTTGTAGTAATGATCATGTGGTTGACATTGTCCTTCTCAGCCTGGTTATAGTTGGTTCATTAAACTTACCAAATTCTGTCGGACATACACCAAACCAAAAGCTTTAAGTGGAGTTGCTCTTTTAAAGAAAATAATAATATAATAATAATCCTTATTTGTAGAGCACTTTTCAAAAACAAGTTACAAAGTGCTTTAACAAGTGTAAAGAATAATACAAAAAAAAGATAAGAGCATGAAAATTTAATATAAAATTAGTAAAATACAATAAAATAAAAGGGATAAAATAAAGTCAAATAAGATCAGGAAAGGCTCTCCTATAAAAGTATGTTTTAAGAAGGGACTTAAAAGAGTTCACTGACTCAGCCGACCTGATTTCCTCGGGCAGGCTGTTCCAGAGCCTCGGGGCCCTGACAGCAAACGCTCTGTCCCCTTTAGTTTTCAGTCGAGACTCTGGAACAGACAACAGACCTCTGCCCGAGGATCTCAAGGTACGTGCTGGTGCGTATGGGACTAAAAGGTCAGAAATATAACAAGGCGAGAGGCCATGAAGAGCTTTAAAAGTGATCAATAGAATTTTAAAGTCAATTCTAAAACATACTGGGAGCCAGTGTAATGAAGCTAAAATAGGAGTAATGTGGTCATATTTCTTTGTTCTGGTTAAAAGCCTGGCAGCTGAGTTCTGGACAGTCAGGAGTCGATCAATAGATTTTTGGGTTAAACAGGTGAAAAGGCTGTTGCAATAATCCAGGCGTGATGAGATGAAGGCGTGTAAAATGGTCTCGGTGTCCTTAAAAGTTAACATAGATCGAATTTTAGCTATATTTCTAAGTTGATAAAAACATGATTGAACAAGCTTTGTGGTGTGCTGCTCGAAATTTAAATTACTATCAAACCAAACACCAAGGTTCTTTGCCACAGGCTTAATGTGATTTACTAGGGAACCAGCAGATGGCAGTATTTGATTTGCCATCTGCTGGGACCCGATGACCAGGATTTCTGTTTTGTCTGAGTTCAGCTGGAGGAAATTATTTGACATCCATTTTTTAACTTCACAAAGGCAGTTGTTAAGTGAACTCAGCATTCCAGGGTCTGTGGATCTGACGGGCAAGTAAATTTGTGTGTCATCAGCATAAATATGAAAAGAAATGCCATGTTTATGGATAATATGTCCAAGGGGAAGCAGATACAAGGAAAACAAAATGGGTCCTAAGACCGACCCCTGAGGCACACCATATTTAACTGGACAGAATGAAGAGACATAGTTGTTTACAGACACGCAAAACTTCCTATTTGACAGGTAGGATGAAAACCATTCTAGAGCAGTACCAGAGATCCCCACCCAGTGCCTCAGTCTGTCTAACATGATGTTGTGATCAATGGTGTCAAAAGCAGCGCTAAGGTCCAGGAGTACCAGGACTGAGCACATACCTTCATCAGCAGACATTAAAAGGTCATTGGTGACTTTAAGCAGGGCAGTCTCAGTGCTGTGGTACTTCCTAAAACCAGACTGAAACTTTTCAAATATTTTGTTATTTTCCAGCACAGTGAGCAGCTGTTTGGACACAATTCTTTCTAGAATCTTTGCAATAAAAGGCAGTTTTGAAATTGGTCTAAAATTTTGTGGGAGGGAGGGATCTAAACCAGGTTTCTTTAAAAGTGGGTTCACGCAAGCCGTTTTAAAATAATCAGGGACACAACCAGTAGATAGGGAGCTGTTGAAAACAGAGATCAAATGGGGCCCAACAGAATCTATTACTTTTAGTAAAAATTTTGTAGGTATTATATCAAGTGGGCTGGAGGACACTCTCATTTGTGATATTGTTTTTAAAAGCTCAGACAAGTCGATGGGATAAAACTGGTTAAAACTCTGTTGTTGCTGGTGAGGAACCTCTGAGTAAGAGGCCACGGGGGTAATAGAGGCTCTGATTGACACCACCTTATTGGTAAAATAAGATAAAAACAATTCACAGTCATCATTACTTCCAGCTGAGGCACAAGGAGGGGTTGGGTTTTACAAAAAAAAAAAAATACACCCTCCAGTTTGTTTAATACTTTAAAAAAAATCGCAGATTCACGAGAAGATATATGAAGGAGTCATGGTGGAAGAGCTTTAAAAAAAATACACAGGCACATATATAGCATATTAATGGGTCTTTTTGCTTTGTGTTTCTTTTGTATCTTGTTTTAATGCCTTTTCATGTGTTATGTAAAGCACTTCAATGGCATTGTTGAAAGATGACGCAAATAAACCTACACTGCCTTCCTCAACCTTCAATCCAGAACTGTGCATCAAACACCAAAATATTTCATTGCATCCCTACTGATCAGCTTCTCCGCAGTCTTTGTAATGTATCCAGTACCTGCAGCAGGTCTTTGCGATCCAGGTCCCACTTCTTGATACCGTTGTCTCGAGAGCCGCTGAAGAAAATGTCCCCCTGGACCACCAGTGACTCGATTCCATCGTAATGGGGAGGTTCAAAGTTGTGTGTTGGGCTGATGCTCCCCAGAGAGCCTTCAGTCACATCAAACAGCTGGAACAGCCAGAGTGTTGCATGTTAAAAGGTGTATTGCACTTTATTGTGAAATTTTATATATTATATACACACACACACACACCTGCAGCAATTTCTGTATTTTCAAAGAGGATTGAATATTATTTTTTTAATACCCAAGGTAATCATGATAGGTTAATCTGACAAGAATGAATAACTCCCACAGTCTTGATATTGTGTCCCTGAATGCTTGAACAGATCATACGTCATAATCACATAAATAATCTTATCTTTATTAGACAGGGCTCACAGGAATCATTATGTTAATTCCAGAGTATGTGCTGTAATATGTAAATACAGGACACAGAGAGGAGAACAAAACACACCTTGATGTAGTGGTCCTTGGACCCAGTGATCACCAGGTCTTGGTTGTTTCCAGACCGATCCACAGTCAGGCACATCACTGGACCGAGGTGACCAGTAAGTTTCCCTGTGGATGCAAATCTGACAAAGAGACAAATTATTTATAAAAAAAGAGTCAATCATTTCACTCCCAGTCTGTAAGTTTGGGTCACTACCATGAATTACATTAAATTATATCAGACGTCCAAAGGTTATGGCGCCTACACTGACTTATTTCATGAATAATTCACTCATGTAAAAAAGTGTCTTGTTGGTGTTGGGAGTCTGTTAATTGAGTTCAGAGCATTCAATCAGCCAGACTTCAGGTTATCAACTGTTTACAAAGAGGCAATTCATCAAAATGTATACCAGCTGGACAGCTTTGAATTGGATACCTGACAGGTTTCACATTGAATCAGGTCTTTCAAGTGTGCAACATCAAGAAATCGGGCTTTGATTTAACTCGCGGCGTGTGTTATGCATCTCAAAATAGTGCAGCAGTGTCAGAATGAGCACAGTAAAAAAAAAAATAAATAAATAAAAAATCAGGGAATGATGAAACAGATTGGCATCATGGATTCATTTGTGACTGGACAATAGTTAATCTTAAATTGACTTTGCAGCTATTTTGACTGAACAAATCTACTAAGTCAGTTGGTCTAAAGCCCAAATGATCACTATGCAGTATCACTGAACCTTTTCTGACCAGTCATTTAAATTTAGCCCCTCTTCTTACCTTCGTAGATCCCAGACTCTGACTGAGTTTCCGGCGGCAGCGTACAGGACCGTCCCGTTAGGGTTGAGAGCGATCTGGTTGATCTGATTCTCTCCTGCTGGGATGGTGACCGTTCGGCTGGTGTTAGACGCACAGACTTCCCCAACACTAACCTGACCAGACGACCTGAAGATACATGAATGAGATATGTAAAATACAAAATGTTTTGTCTGTCAAGAAATCCTTATGAAATAGGTAAAAACTGTTGTGCAAAAAGAATCCCATTACAGATTTACATAACAGATGTGAAGTATTAATACTTTGACAGACAGAGCTGAAGCATACTGATGAATTTCAGTGGTATTTTTAAATCTACATTTAGGAATTAGCTACTTCTAAAAAGGTCATTTGAGGCCTACTTAAAACGAAAATCCTTGGATGATCAGAGGTGGTGATGGAGCAGTGGATAAGACGCATGCCTTTGGTGTGAGAGATCTGCGTTCGAATCCCACTGTGACCCATCCACCAATGTGTCCCTGAGCAAGACATTTAACCCCTCGTTGCTCCAGAGGCATGCAACCTCTAACATATATAGCAATTCTGAGTCGCTTTGGATAAAAGCGTCAGCTAAAATGTAAGTGTAATACATGTGTGCAAAACAACACAAATGCATAATACATTATGTGAAACACAAGTTCTACCACATGTACAATGAGTGAAGAACGCATGAAGAAGAAAAAAATGTTTCTTCAATTTATAGCCATTTTTCATTTCAATTTCGACAGATTAAGCTCCTTCGGTCAGGCCAAAACACAGCAGCCTAAAACCCGTTCAGGTGGTCACACTCACGTTAGTGTTCGGATGCACTTGGCTGAGTCCCGGATGTCCCAGACTTTGATAGAGGAGGTGGAGACGGTGAAAACCAAACTGGAGCTGTAGCGGACTGACACCACGTTGTTCGGGTGACCAGCCAGGGACATTATCTCCTGACCCGTCACCAGATTCCACACCTTACAGGTCCGGTCTACAGGAGGACAGGCAGTATGTCATCTACATCACCAGTTAATATATATATATTTATAAGCACAGGGAGCATGCTGAGAAAGAAGTAAAAACTCGAGCAACAGAGAACAGACCAAGACTGATTTATCCACATACTGTGCACACGGCAGTCTTGGTTAATCCCTGTCAGGTTTTGTTTGTCGTTATATAACAGCATGTCAAAGTGTAATAAATTGCCAGCGCCATAACTAGCAGACGTGAGGAATACTAATTAGCGTGAAGAAGTGAAGGGAGGACGGTAGGAGGGAGGATTGTGGGTTTTAACCTTTGGATCCGGTGAAGAGAAGGTCATCAGTGCAGTCGACACAGAGAACAGCTTTACTGTGGCCCTCTGCCACATGGACACACTGTAATGTCGCCTGCCGACTGCTCTTAGTAGCTGGCACCGGGTTAATGACGCCCCTGGAAAACACACACACACACACACACACACACATCAATAGATGCAGCACGGACACAACTTTGTCTAATAATCTGAGTGCACACCCACATAACCAGAGTCATGCACAGCATGCAACTCCCGTGGCTGATTAGGACGATGCTGCAAACCAAAAACACAAAGAGATGACAGTAACAGTCCTTAGAGAAAAAGTGGACACTGGGAACAGAGTCACCGTTAGAAGAAAAGAAAAGCCAAGATTCCTTAAGGAGCTTCTCTTTGAGTCCAGAATAGATAAAAACACCCAATGATGCAAAGACAGACGATAACTGGATAAAGTGGTGTTCATAAGGGACCACAGCCTAGATCAATCATTAATTGGCTGGTTGTGTTGGCAAATTAGCATCTAGTAGTGTAATTGTTCAATTACTACTCTCTAACAGTTGTAGCTATCAGTATCAGTGGAGCAGCAGGATGAGCTGATTGTGTGGCACAGATCCAGACATCAATATTCAGGAGTTGATTGAATGAGCTTTAAAAAGGCCTCCTGTGCGCAGAATAAAAACTAATGAAAAGAGAGGATTATTGAGGGTTCAGATTCATTATCAGTAATAAGCTTGACAAGATGACACTGTTTAGGTTTATTGTAATTGTCTATTGATCCGAGCGAGCGTAACTACCTACCTACCTACCTACGCACAATTACAGATAATCTCACCCTGGACACAACCTGTTCCAACTTCTCCCCTCTGGTAACCGCTACAGAGCACCGTACGCCAACCAACAGACTCAGAACAGTTTCTTCCCACAAACCATAAGTCTGAGGAACAGCTGACTCTGACTCACATGTCAGGAACAATTTCTGTGCAATAATTCCTGTTTACTGGCTACCACTTACCATTTATTTATTTATCATTCTCTATTTCAGAGCTGTTCTTACTGTTCATATTGTATATTATACTGTATACCAAATCCACCTACCTCATGTACATAACACCACACATAATACTTATATATTCCAGCATCCTTTGCACTCATCCCACTGTGTACATGTATGCTTGTATGTGCACCTGTATATCACATCCACATCTGACATGTACATAATAATGGTAATAATTTACTCGTGCATCCTTTGCACTCTGCTCATGGCACGACTGCACTATTGTCTCAATCTGTCTGTTCTGTTTATAGTGTCAATATATGTGTTCTCATACTGCAGCCTGTGTGTGATTTAATTACTGTTATTATTGTGTTAATGTATAAGTAAGCGCATTGTGAGCATTCTACAATCCAGAGTCAAATTCCTCGTATGTGTACATATACCTGGCAAATAAAGCTGATTCTGATGTTTAAGTCACTTTAACCGTTCATGTCTGGTTAAATCTAGTGTTTTGTTAGTCTTATGATTTGTCAACGCAAACAGTGTAGGTCACGATAAGAAAAAGATTCCACACCACGTGCGTCTGTGATTCAGATTCACCTTTGCTCTGTACACCAAAAGGTGAAATTTTAGTGAACTATATGACAAATAAAAAACAAAAAGTTGTACTTGGGTGGACCGGCGAGAGGAGGGGAAACAGAACGGAGGATGCGGTTGGAGGACAAGTAGTGACATCCATCCGTCCTGGAGGGGAAAAGAATATAAGATATTCCCGAGACCTGATTAACTATTGACTTAAATGCTAATTAGTTCCATTTTTATCAAAATCCTTAATTGTTTTTACATAATTCCATATTGGGTCCAACTTAACTTCAAGAAGAGCTAATTCTAGAGTGAAACCATGTACTCATGAGAGGGGAAAGCATATACAATAATCATGTAGCTTTAGTCTGACAAAATGTCACTCCTTGTATATAATCAAAAGCCATACCAGTGGTTTAGCATGCCTTAGCAAAAGATATTTTCTACCTTCCATGTATCCAGTTTGAAAATCATCATGGTGAAAGTTTAAACTCAGGTGAATTTATGTTCCATCCATGTACATTACATTTTTTGTGTCATGTCACACAGGCCGTGCCCAAAATCAGTTCCTATTTGAAATTTTGTATGTATTTATTTGTTAACCCTGTTATTTCATTTGAGTGTCTAATCTCTAAGTTTAGAATATATGCACTATAAAGTGACATCCATGGTATATACACATTACCTTTAGCTACAAATTCCACAATGCAATGTTTTAAATTTAATAGATATGTAAATTACAGTTATGCACTGCTGTACCTCTCAGTGATTGTGCGTTCGGAATCTCAATGTAATCCCAACTAGTAAACTATTGAGTGCTTATTATGCAGAGAATAGTGATTGAGTGAATAGGGGAGTGATTTCAGACACAACCACGGTAATGCATTTGCAAGTAGAGAACACCTTATTTTGAAAACACTCCTACATTCTGAATTTATGGGCTGCCTGCAAAGAAACACTGCATTGTCGCATTGAGAAGTTGGTGTGTAATCAGGAAATCAAATCCAGCAGGAAAAACAACAAGCAAATGTAATTAGAAGGACAATCTGAAGTTGACTGTTTCTTGGATAGAAAATGCCTTCTGGCAGCTGACTTTAAAATGCTTGAATGCTCCAATAAAGACCACAATCCTTGCTTACTTACTACTATGCAACAATGTAACATGAAGAAAACAAGACATTTACGCTAATGGATTACCTGTCATCAACAAATCTGTGCAAATAGATTTTCATTTCTATTCACTGAACTGAAATGGAAATGTAATGGCTACATGGAAGGTGGAAAACAAAGATTCAATCCTACAGTATGCTTTGCAAAATGGTCAGTAGTCATGTGCATTGAAAGAGTCAAACAATACCAATACTTTGCTATACCACTAGTATGATCTTGAATAGTTTTATGATATTTTTAGGGTCCATTTTGATACAATGTGCACTTTGGATTTCTACAAAATAGCAATCAAAATGATAATACTACCTTGAGAAAGCTAGTTTTTATCATAACACTCCAAAAACTATATTAATGTGTTCGTACTGCTACAGATCTACATGTATGTCTCGTGTCTACATTAACAGGACATACAGTACCTACTGTAACTTGGGAAATAAGACAAACTGACAGATTTTGCAGTGCAATGCTGCCGCTCATCCTGGAATTTTCCCCTGACTTTAATCTGACTCTCTGGCAGGTTTGTGTCAATTGTACTTATCTCTGGTTCTTACTTATCCTGCAAGGCATTTGCAGTACGCCCCAAATACCCTGTCACACTGCTAAACACGGCAATGTGGTTACAGGGACGAGCGGTAGGGGAGAGGGGAAGTGGTGGGCTGCTCTTCAGGCTCCTGATGACTGGGCTGTGAAGGAAGACAGTAGGGCTGCCAATTAAGCTGCAGCATAATTAAAGTGTGTGCTAAGCTGTTTACACACTACTGGCAGGAGTGTGGGAGGACTGCATGAGGACAGAAGGGAGACGCATATGCTGCATTCATGCCATGGGAGCAACTGTCAGGACAGCTTGACAGGAGAGTGTTCACGTGTTCATACTCATCTGAAGCTATAAAGAGCTATAAAGGGAGAAGCTTTCCTGTTCACTGTGGTTTACTAGATTTTTCAGCCTGTGGATATTTCAGGCCAGGATTGTTCTGTCAAGATACTGTCCTGACATGAAAGTTCCTGTCCCACCAGAGTTGCAGAAAAACATTTCTTAATACATTTTACAGTACTTATCCGAGGGATGTAGTATCCTGGTTACAGTGAAAAGCATTAAGTCAATTCAACTTTAGTTAAATAGCCCAAAATCGTCAATTCAACTTTAGTTAAATAGCCCAAAATCACAAATTATTATTAACATACTACCCTTGAACCCTTTTTTAATATTGTAAATCTTCTTTTGGAGGCTTTTAACTGTAAACAGAAAATTGTTTACCAATTTTTGGTATGAAAATAGTACTAGCATATTGCACCTTATTTCAAAGTATCTTCTATCAGCCACTTAAATCTAAAGCAAAGCTAGTTTTAATGCACACACACACAAGAAAATTAAGAGAGACTAGAAATTAGATTCTTATCCTTCACATCTAGCCTGAGGGTGTGGGCAGATTAAATGCCATGTTGTAACCTAAAGGGTTCCTTTCCTCTGGGTTGTCCTGGTAGCCTAGTGGTCAAAAAACGTATTTCATCATCACTTGTTCAATTCTAGTCAGGAACTCAAGATTCCAGTCTGTCTCTACTACCTGCTGTTTATAAAGGCTAAAAAACATCTTTAAAATTTGTATTTCTTTTGTTTGTTCTATGTAAATAAAGAAATCACACTCCGTGATGGAGGCGCTCTGAAGGCATGAAGTCAGACAGAGTTTCCAAATAGTTTAACCACTGGAGATTTGACATTGACGTTTTTTTCTCTGTATAGAAAATGCCAACAACTGGCTTTGCCATATGACATGAATGCAGCGATATTCAGGACTCATATCGACCCCATACACACACAGACCCATGAGTGCAGAGTGAATGTAAAGAAAATGTCGTTTCAAGTGGGCAAAAATATGTTTGCACATCTTGCCAAGGAAAGCCTAAAAACTCAAATATTAAGACGATTAGTAACTATTGTCAATAGTCATCACCAACGTAAGAAGAGTTATCAGCTGTATAAATTAATCTACAGTATTTCAGTACTATATATCTTCAGACAGGACGTCAGGGACTAGAAATGTTTTTGACATGTAAGTACGCGTTGAGATCATATTTTCATTTTTCAACAGACACACAGCAAATTTTACAAAAACAGCTTACTCAGCACGTTCTTCCATTTCAGTCTCACACACAAGAATTTACTGATAAGACCAAGAAAGGAAAAATTCAGTGGTTTCTTCAATAAGTAGAATGCTTATCTTTAGTAGATCAACAGCAGAAACACTGATTAGCACCGAATTTGAGTCAAAACCATTAGGAGTGAAAAAAGAAAACGTCCCCATTATGGCTCAATAAAGAGACATAATATCCAAGTTAGGTAAGAATAATACGATTCAACATTCAACATAGAACTTGGCAGGTGAAAGGTTATCCCACCAGGCACAGAGCATTTTTGATTTAGTTGATTTAGAGACCACATGCTTCTCTAAAGCAGGAAACCGAGAGGAGTATTATTAGTAGAGTTGAAGTGAAGTTATTTATATTTTCAGCTTTGCAGCCACAATGTCGGCATCAAGCTCTTACTGTTTAATCTCCTTGACTTTTGCCCTGTCGGCAGCTGCGTGTGCCTTGTCGTAGGTCTTCCTGCGAGAGAGCGGGGAGGGCTCCGGCGCTCGCTTTTCCACCCCAGATGAAGTTCTGGAGCCAGAACTGACCATTCAGTTTCATATAGTTACCCACAAACGACACAAAGAATAATAATAAAACAACAGAAGAATGTGAAACCAAACATAAAATAATGGTAACAATGAAGAGATGAGCATGCAGTACACATAGAAACACAGTTACCTGATATTTAAAGTCCCAAAACAGTGGTGGTTCTTCGCCAAGCTCATTTTTAACTACTCAGGACTGTGTAGATTTTGCGTTACACTAAAATATAATTCTATTACTTTACTTGCTGATGCGCTGTCAGCCAAGGCTCTTTAAAAAAAATATACAAGTCAATGTGCACTTAGAAGCAGGGTCTTTTGCAGGTCAGTTAAAGCAGTCTGGTTAGTATCTTTGCTTTCAGCGTGCAACTAAGCTGTAATGAGGAATTAGAAAGGCACTTTGTGCAGGGAACAGTAATAAATGAGCCATATAAATGTTAATATTGGCCCCTTTACCTCAAAGGACTCATCAGTTGGAGGAAGGTATAGCCATTTGATGTAAGGATGCTAATGAATAATGTAAAACAAAATTAAATAAAGCGGAGGACATAGCAGCAACATCAAACATGCAGGAAGGAAGGAAGTAGCAATCACTGTGTTAGCAGAAGAGTGCCGGGCCTAGACTTACATGCTGCCCATTTTAGAGGAAAAGCCGGGGGAGAGAGCTGTGTAGTCCCTGACTGATGAGCCTGATGAGTCCATGTCTCCTCCCCCATCTGGTGTTTCAGCTAAGGGCAGCATCGGACTGGAGAAGTCTGCAGTGGGTGCGTCGGGGGCGGAGTCACTGTTTGCGTACAGCAGCTCCATCTGAGTGGTGGTTCTTCTACGAGCCTGTACAGCACAGATAAGTGAAATTAAGACAGGAAGTAATTGGGGAAAAACTAGTATATGACACATTAAGCCATTAAACATTGTAATACCTTATTTCTCGTTTTGGTGTCACCACAGAGTTTCATGAGATCTGATGCCAAGGTGCTGGGAGGAAGACATGAGTTTTATATACGAGTATTATGGACTTTTGTAAAAACACACAGTGCATAAAACAACACAAAACAGAACACAACAAAGATATGAACTAAACAACATAAAACATAACACATAAACACAAAATAATGTAACATAGCATAATATAAACATTTCATAAGCTATATAAAGATAAGTAACAATAAATAAGAAACATAATGATAACATAATGCAAAGCAACATACATAGCATAGTACATCATAAGTCAGCATAACATAAGCACAACATAAAATAAAATAAACTCACTTTCCCTCTGCAGAAGGGCTCTGGGCAGACTCATCACTGCTGCTATCATCCCCATTTTCTGTCAAATGAGATCAATGAATAACATAAGAGTTGAAAGAAAACCATCTTGGCCGACTGAGATGACTGCTTATGACTTTCTAAAATGGTTCTTAGCAAGTACACCTTGCCTACGACTAAATAATTTATCCTTCAGCTCACTTTCGCTAAAGGGTTGTGTGAAGCAATTTGTTTGTCTTTCATTAAATAGCTGCACAAAATGGATATAGGAAAGAACAAGTGAAGCAGATGAGGGCGATGTCAGCACAGCGCCATGCTGTTTTATCGACAAACAGAAACTTGCTCCTCACTCAATGGAATCAGATGGATTGAAAAGGGTGAGGGGTCAGAGAGCAGTCAGGTGGGGAGGGATATAAAGAGAGATGTGTGGACGAGTTGGGGCAAAGGTAAAAGACCTGATATGAGACAATAAGGTGGAGGAGTGTGAAGAATCATTAGTCCGTTGCTCCAGGTGGGGTCAGCTGACCTACAGGGTCCAACAGAGCTATAATATCCACGGTGTATGGTTCCTGTGGAAGGGTCTGGGGTTAGCGGGGTGCTAAAGCATGGAGGCTGTAGCACATGGTGAGCTAGGAGGAGCAGCAGGAGGAGGTAGAGTGTATCCAGATGAAGGGACGGGAAGGAGAGGTCAGCAGACAGATGGAGGGAAGCCTTGTTGCATTGCACCTCATGCACCTGTTCATGTTATGTTTAGTTAGTTTTCAAAAGTCAAAGGGAAGGAACCATGCATTCATAACACAGATAAGAGTCTTATATGGTTTCACTTACCAGCCGGGATGTTACCTAGCTCTGCAAAAACATAAGAAAACAAAAAAGAAAAACGTGGGGGAACAGAAAAGGCAATACACAAATCAAAACTTAGTCCCCCAAAATTCTAAAAAACAAACAAACAAAAAGAAAATAAAGTGCAGCTACAGTAAACAAGAGTCTCCTACTGAACAGAGGCTGGCAGAAATACTTTTACAATCACAACACAAACATTGGCGATAAAACCAACTCTGTAGCCTATAAATGTAAATGTTTTTAGGAATTTGGATAACAGTAAAACTATCTTTGTACCAGAGTTTAACAGGGGAATTATGTATCAGTTATAAAATAATTAGGCCAGCTTCTATTCAGCAGAAGACAACAGGCAGGAGCATGTCAATGGGCCCAATCATGCAACTGACCAGTAATCCAGTCCACTTCCTGAAAGGTCAAATGCTTTGTAACAGATACGTGGAAAGACTTACATCATCATCCCAGAATACAATCTGAATCCCAGTTTTACTTTACATGATATTAATGACACTCACAGGAGGTGGACTGGGTTAAACTAGGGGTCTGGTCCGTATTTTGGGTCCTTGTCTCCACTTCTATCTCAACCCAAACAGAACTCTTGTTACCTTGCAGTGCATTCCCCAGCAGCGCGTCAAGCTCTGGGTTAAACTCGGCCTTCTCCTTCAGCATGTGAAAGAGCAACTGGTTCTGTGTGGCGCTGGTGATCTCGGTCTGCTTCAGCCTGCCCTCCATCACCTTCACCTGAGACTCCTTCTGTGCTGCCTGGAGACCCTGAAGGGGTGAGAGCGTAGACATTACACAATGTTTATAGTGTTATTCACTGTCCATCTCAAAATCACACCGACATCTTGCTATATGGTTTAATAACTGCAAATATAGAGTCATGTATCGGTTTCAAAACTTATGCAGTAATAACAATGTTAAAAAATGGCAAAAATGTATCAGGACTATATTTATTAAATAGCATCATTATGATGTAAATGTATCAGATTTATCCAAACGGCAAATTTTCTTCTGCAGTCCCTGACTAGGATGATGTTAAAAAAGTAAAATTACCTGACTCGGGTTGAAAAATCAGTCTGTATGTACCCAAGAATTCTTGGCTTTCTTATTCACGTTTCAGGTTGCAAAGCTGTTATAAGCACAGACAGTGGTGATTATTCCCAATGAACACTGTTATTAGGGCTGGTACCTTGTTGATAGCCATTGACATGAAGTGATCCAATAGAAAACGAGCTTCTGTCAGGGTACAGGAACCAACAACAGCAGAGATGTCCACTGTGTCGCCTTCCTCCTGGATAAAAACAAAAAAGTGAATTTATAAAACTTCAACAAAAAATAAATAAAATAAACGTGCTGGATACGTGCTAAGAACACCTTTCATCACATAAAAGTTTGGCGAATTAGAAACCCCTGTTAAGCTGTTCCTCCATCATTTTTACTGAATCTATTTAACCAGCCAGTACAGCTAAAACATTTTTTTTTTTAATATCTAACTTTTAGGCTACCAATTCCCAATATTCTCAGTCTGTCTCACCTTGGTTTCCTCCATCTGCATGATGTTGGCCTGACAGTCTGCGATGCTGTCATTGATGTAGTCAATGTTGGCCGTCAAAGCATCCACTTCCTCGTTTAGGGGAAGCACTGCCTTCTCTGCCTCTGGCCCCTCCCTGAGCACCCTGTCCCTCTTCCTGATGACCTTCTCTTTGCGCTTGGTCAGCTCCTCTCGTTGCTATGATCAGAAACACACTGACTTGTAAGAAAATCAACAGAACTAAACAGATTTCAGTCCATGGAGTTATTTCTAAATGTATACATGATAAACCGCTGTGGAATAACAAGAAAGGATCTTGAATTTATTTTTTTTTTAAAATGGAAACCAGGAAGTAACAGATTCTTTCAACACAAAATTATACCAGGTTTTGCTTTTGTTACCCACTGATCATGATGAATCATGCAACAACAAGATGATGTAGCAGTAATTAAAGCCTCCAAGGTCAGGTTTTGATGCCATTTTTCCAAAACAACCTCTCAGTTCTTACTGACTCAACAGTAGAGACTGGAAATATGGCACAAAGACACGTCAGCATCCCCCTCAGTCATCTGCCAGACGCTTCTCCAATTCCAGACCATTTGATTCAGAATTTAGTGGAAAATTATTAGCAACAGAATTATATACATGTATACTTCTGTTTTGGCATTTTACTGTACAAAACAAATGTAAACAGCAGAATAGCCAACATGAATGTGTAATACTATTTGGAAGGTATATAGTGGTTTTGTACTTTGTATGCCATTTTGGTAATATCAGTGTCATAAAGTGGGGCCAAAAAGTATTTAGTCAGCCAATGATTGTGCAAGCTCGCCTTCTTAGAAAGATGAGGTCTGTAATTTTCATCATAGGTACACTTCAGCTATGAGAGACAAAATGAGAAAAAAAAAAAAAAGTTAAATCCAGGAAGTCACATTGTAGGATTTTTAAAGAATTTATTTGTAAATTATGGTGGAATAATAAGTATTTGGTCAATAACAAAAGTTCAACTCAATACTTTGTAACAATCTTTGCTGGCAATGACAGAGGTCAAACATTTCCTGTAAGTCTTCACCAGGTTTGCACACACTGTAGCTGGTATTTTGACCCATTCCTCCATGCAGATCTCCTCTAGAGCAGTGATGCAACAGTGGGCAACACGGACTTTCAACTCCCTCCACAAATTTTCTATGGGGTTGAGGTCTGGAGACTGGCTAGGCCACTCCAGGACCCTGAAATGCTTTTTATGGAGCCACAGTGTGTTTGGGATCATTGTAATGCTGAAAGACCCAGCCACGTTCCATCTTCAAGGCTCTCAATGATGGAAGGAGGTTTTGGCTTTAAATCTCACGATACATGGCCCCGTTCATTCTTCCCTTAACACGGATCAGTTTTCCTGTCCCCTTTGCAGAAAAACAGCCCCAAAGCATGAGGTTTTACTCCCCCATGCTTCACAGTAGGTCTGGTGTTCTTGGGATGCAACTCTGCATTCTTCTTCCTCCAAACACGAGTTGAGTTTTTACCAAAAAGTTCTATTTTGGTTTCATCTGACCACATGATATTCTCCCAATCCTCTCCTGGATCATCGATATGCTCTCTGGCAAACTTCAGACGGGCCTGGACATGTACTGGCTTAAGCAGGGGGACACGCCTGGCACTGCAGGATTTGAGTCCCTCTCGGCGTAGTGTGTTACTGATGGTAGCCTTTGTTACTTTGGTCCCAGCTCTCTGCAGGCCATTCATCAGGTCCCACCGTGTAGTTCTGGGATTTTTGCTCACCGTTCATGATCATTTTGACCCCACAGGATGAGATCTTGCGTGGGGCCCCAGAGCGAGGGAGATTATCAATGGTCTTGTATGTCTTCCATTTTCTTACAAAATGCTCCCACAGTTGATTTATACACACCAACCTGCTTGCCTATTGTAGATTCATGCTTCCCAGCCTGGTGCAGGTCTACAATTTTCTTCCTGGTGTCCTTCGACAGCTCTTTGGTCTTGGCCGTGATTGAGTTTGGAGTCTGACTGCTTGAGGCTGTGGACAGGTGTCTTTTATACAGATAACGAGTTCAAACAGGTGCCATTAATACAGGTAACGAGTGGAGGACAGAAGAGCTTCTTAAAGAAGAAGTTACAGGTCTGTGAGAGCCAGAAATCTTGCTTGTTTGTGGGTGACCAAATACTTATTTTCCACCATAATTTACAAATAAATTTTTTAAATCCTACAATGTGATTTCCTGGATTTTCTTTTCTCATTTTGTCTCTCATAGTTAAAGTGTAAAATTACAGACCTCTCTCATCTTTCTAAGTAGGAAAACTTGCACAATCAGTGGCTGACTAAATACTTTTTGGCCCCACTGTAAGTACAGTAGAGTCATATTTATTACAACCTCAGACTGGCCAAGTTTTTCACTGCTTCCACCTACAAGAAGCTACACCTCAGCAGGTTGACAGTCGATATTGAGGTTGCCTTTACAGGAGTTTCTTGCTGGTGTCAAAGTTTCGAGCTGATAATATTCTGGTCATTATGCGTCTTTCGTTCTGTAATTGATATATCAAGACAAAGTAACACCAACATACCAACGTACTGCTGTAGTTTTACCTTGAGGAGGCGGTTCATGTCAGCCTCCATGTTGGAAATGGTCATCCTCTGCATGATGACGTCAGAGATCCGTCGCTCCAGAGACTGCCATTTATTGCGGGCGACTCTGGTGGAGTAAACACCCACTGTGCGCCTGTAGGAAGACCTGCACACACACAGCGTAAGACAATAATGTGAATGATTTGTCCAAAGGATTTAAAGGAGGTGGTATTATGTTTATTTTCAGGTTCAAAATCTTATTTAAGGATTGTACCAGAACAGGTTTACATGGTTTTATTTTTCTGAAAACACCATATTTTTGTCATAGTGCACATTGCTGCAGCTCCTCTTTTCACCCTGTGTGTTGAACACCTCGTTTTAGCTATGGAGTGATACATCCTGTCTCTAAATGATCTTTGTTGGGAGTTGCACATGCGCAGTTCCTAGTTAAGGACTACTAGCCAATCAGAAGCAGAGAAGGGCGGGTCAGTGAGAAGCAAACACGGCTTCAGTTCAGCTAGGCTACGTTCAGACTGCAGGCCTTAATGCTCAGTTATGTTTATTTTTGTTTGCCAGTTCACATTACTGTTTAAATGTGGCCCATATCAGACTCCAGTGTGAACTGTCCGCGGCCTGAAAGTGACCCGCATGCGCAGAAGAACACGATGTCACATGCAACACGCTGTGCAGGCTGCAGAAGTAAACAGGGAGCAACAGAGGTTAGCTCCGGTTAGCTCACTGCAGACTCCCGTTTTTCATTGTCCTCTCACGGGTCACATTTCTCCCAAATTATGACAAGTGTTCACAACTTTCTGTCCTTTTCTTTACGGTTTCTGGCGCTGGACAATGCAACTGCCTCTCTCTCTCTCTCACCACTCTGTGTCCGCTCGGACAGGTAGCATGCACGTAACTCAGAAGAGAGCTTGCGGTCCGGTGGATTTCAGGTGTAAGAAAGGGAATTTGTGAGCAGATGATAGCGAGGTAGAGGAGGAAGAGAGACACATGTTTAATAATGGCATTTGTGGAGCTTTTTCGCTCAAATGCGACCTGTGTGTCCAGACTGAGGTCGCATTTAAAAAGATCTGGACCACATATGGAAGTGGCCCAATTCCGAACTGGAAAAGATCAGATTCCATGTGACGCCCTGTTCACACAGTCATAAAAAGATCAGATCTGAGTCACATATGGGCAAAAAAAAAAACAAAAAAACTTTGGCCTGCAGTCTGAACGTAGCCATAGACTGGAGCAAGAGTGGTGAGTTATTAATCTGTAACAAAAGTATCTTTCGTCCATAAAGTTTTAACTGAGTCTCTACATCACAGAAACATGTCCATTGACTGCCTGGAGGGTATCTCGTGTTTGGAAGGGAGAGGAGAGATGTGTGCTGCAGCTCAATGTTTTTCCACCTGTGTTTTTGAGGGCGTGTCGGACTAGCTATATGAGGTGCATTCAGCTTTCGTCCCTGTGTCGTCACAAGGATGAAAGGGAAACAGCTGGACTACAAACAAGCTGTTTCCAGGCAGCTCAGAGCAGAGTTTTCTGTGAGAGATGGGAACTCCCTTAGGGCTGGACTTTGGGCTTTTTCACTTTGCAAACCTATTACATGCACAGAAAAGGTATATAACTCAATAAAGGAGAGGGAAAAAGCCAAAAAGCATAATACCACCTCTTTAACACTTTTGATCACATTCAGGGATGATGTAAAAGAGCTCATGAACATTTTCTGGAGCTGGTTAACAAGGAGTCTGCAGTAGAGGCAGGAAATCAGTATATAATACACCACCTACAATTGTGGGATAGCATAAGGTGATATTTGCGTAAATACCTGAAATTATAAGAATATCTACCATACAGATGTAAATGTAGAGTCGCACGTACTAACAACATGCACGCACACACACACACATCTTACTGTTACCAGGACTAATTATACTCTGTTGATAAGAACTACTTCTCATTCCACCTGTCAAAGCTACATCTCTGTGAAGAAGCTTCTTTGAAGCAAGCCACTGCAGCCCTTTACATTTAGTGTGATGTCTTATGCAGCTATTATTTGGAATTGGTAAGCCTATAAAGCCTACTCTTTATTTCCCTCATAAATACAGAAAAAGGATTAAACTAGAAATAAAATATGTAAGAAGTATTGGTATCAGTATCGGCAATACCAGCCTGGGTTTTACTCTGGAATCATTAATGTGTACTGAACACATCTTTGTGCACACACAGACTCACCGAGTGCCGTTGGGAGCAGCGTTGCCGGACGAGTACATGCGTCCAGATGGCGGTCTGTGGGGGGAGTCCTGGACTGTTTCTGGGAGATTGACTTTCCTGATGACCTTACCTGAGGTGGGCCTGGCTTGCCTCCTCAGAGCCGTCACCTGACACACATTGCAAACAGTAAAGTAATGACAGGTGAACACTACAGCATACCATGTGTATTTCTGCATCTATTATGTATCACACATGTTTCAGCATACATTATTGATCACAAGTATTTCTGCATACATTATGTATAGTACAATCCATACTCTCTTTTTCTGCCACTGCTCACCTCCTCGGTCTTTCTCCTCAGAATCAGCTCCTGTTGCCTTTTCTGAGCCTCCAGTAACTTTAGTTGGTGCTGTAACACAGTTACAGTAACAGTTCAATGATGATATTGAAGCTCGTGGTACAGATTGATTAAGACGTAATTACAGACAAAGAGGATGTAGAGGCCATCGCTGTCACTGACCTCTTGCTTGCGCTGGTCTTTCTTTAATGAAGCAATTTCTCGGTTTCTGCGAGACTCGTTCATCCTGTTCCTCTCCTGCTGCTCCTTCATCTGCTTCATGAGACGGACCTGGAGCAATCAAATTAAAAATATTTCTATTATATACACAAACTATCGAGAAAGCAATTCAAAATTTGGTCGAGCAAATTGAGTAAATTATGTAGATTTAAAGCTGCTGATCTCATGGGGCAGCATGCTTCTGATGCTACCCTAACGTGACCTATAAGTTCTCAGTCAATGGTTTTTGGTCAATTTATATTAATCTCAATTGTAGTAAATCCTTCCAAACATACTTAACTGGGGGGGGGGGGGGGGGGACATACACAAAGGGTAATGTAGGAAAAATGATAATCAAAAGATGACAAATTTCCCCAATAGCATTACAATACAGTATTATCACAATCAACCTCAAAGTGGACATCTACTGTAAGCAATCATACCTTTGTCTTCTTCATTTCCGCCACATCCAGCTGAAGCTTCTTCAGCTGTTTCTCGTACTGTGACTGGTTCTTCAGGAGTCGGGCGTGCTCCTTCTGAGCAGAGTGTAGCTTCTGAAGCTCTTTGTTCATGACGCTCAGCTTCTTTTCATATTCAGCCTTGATCTTGCGAGCCTTGTCCTCTGTGCCGCTTTCTACTGATGCTGAAAGTATGCACCACAAAACTCATGGAAAACTGATCTTCCGTAAAAAGACAGAATGCAATAATGCTGTAAAACTTTTTAAAAATGGTAAAAAACACAATCGCTTTTAATTGGTAGAGTTTCACATGTAGCGCTCACACTGTGTTACAAACACATTTTTGCTTATCACAAACTTGATCTTCAGCTGTCAAAAAGTATCGTGGTTTGTTGTTTTTTTAGCTGAAAACTTGCCCATCAGACAATACTTTGATCCATTAGTGCTGATAAACATAAATGTAACTGTCTTCGTCTGACTGCTGGCGGAACACATTCTCAACGGACTTTAAAGGATTCTCTGAACTACATAAAGTATAAAGCGTTCTGAAGCGTTCTGAATAGTTTCGGTTTTTTTATTACTAAAGAACAAAAACCAAGATCAAACATGCAGGGTAAGATATAAATTCTTCCAAATACAAGTAGAACAAGCAAGAACTTAAATATACATCCCTTTAAAACTGAAATAAACTTATTGAAAGGCACTGGGCTTTAAAAGCCAAACCCACATCTGCCTTTTGGTGGATGTTTTTATCCAACCGCCTGAGCAAGAGTGGATAAATGACGTACAGTATATCAGTAGAGTGCATTACTCTTCCCACTGAGCAATACATGACTCCCCCCCCCCCAATGGCATCCTTGTCTTACTCATGTTATGGAGGACACGGTCCCTCTCCAGCTGGGTGTCCCTGATCTTGCACTGCAGCATCATCAGCTTCTGTTCGTACTGCTGTTTGAGTGTGTGCAGACGCCGCTGGCTGTTCTCCAGCTCGTCGATCAGCTTCTGCTTGATGGCGATCTCACAGGTGATGTTGGCCAGATCGGCCTGGAAGTTCTCTGTTCGACACACATGATCAGATTAAGTTTTCACGTCCGCAGTGAGATTACGGTCACAAAATGGAAGTATATTCTGTTTTCTGTGCAAAAGACACTTTTACATAAAATCACTCCAAAAGGGGGGATGTAATTTTCTAAATCATTGTCTTTTGTATCATTAATTACTTCATTTCTGTTCTTTAAGTGTTTAGATCCTTATACTAACAGCCTTCCCACAAGATTTAGTGAATAGATCATTTTGAGTATTTGGGTTCTACTTTTGCTGTGTTTGGGACAAATTCATTTAAGTCTGTAAACATCTCATCGCAATTTAAAAAATATTTACTTTTCTTTTGCCCATTACATCAGCACTTTATTTCCCTAACCGTTTCTGAGTTTCCTTAATGTGGTCAGCTATAAACATAGGCGTGAATGTGGTGCTGGTGGGCTTGTGTGAAACTGGTCTGTTAATGGTTGAACAGCTCCCCCTTGTGGACAATCAGCAGCCCCTTAAGGGGAACGAGCGAGAGATGCCACACAGTCTCTCATACCTTTTTCATCTGACTCCGAGTCAGAATCTTCTGAGCTCTCTTCCACATCCATCTCTTCTTCATCCTCCTCTTCTTCCTCTTCTCCTTCTCCTTCCTCATGGTCGCTGCCTTCCTGGACCTCCTACATGATAACATACCCATAACTTAATATCTGAAGGCACTCTTCAATGTATTCCAATGCAGATTCAATATCAAGATGGAAACCTGAGGCAGTCATACCATTTCTGCATCCTCATTGACCCTTTCTGTCATTTCCTTCTCGGTGCCCTTTTCTTGATCATTGTCAGGAACTTCATCCTTGGTGGCACTGAAAGAATCAGACATGGTTAAGAATCAAATTCTTGATTATGCCATGAATATTTACTGAGCAGAACACATGGTGCACACATGGTACCCCTTCACACGCATGTAAACAAGAAGCATATTTCAAACAAAACATCTGTGAGTAATAAATGCATTGTTTAATTTTTTTTTAGGTTGGCAGAGCTTTGTTTTGTAAATTGCATAATACATAGCACATTTTTCACCAAGGATTTACACTGTCTTTTTGGAAAACAAGCTTTTCCATGGGCCTCACCCACTGTGCAGCAATAAAGCTGGTAGCTGTTAAGGACATAATTTATTATGATATACTGTATTTGTAGACAAACTTTCTTGTTTACATGTATTATAAAACATATGCAGAAATCCTTCAGCGTGAGCTCATGACATGGGGAACTATAAAGTTGAGCACGAGATGACACTGCTCCGTTTTCATGAGCTTGTTTGTGGAAAAGACAGTGTATTTTTCTATAAAAAAGGGAGACATCTCATTAGAATCCTAACAAAACCAGCAAAAGCAAAAAACTATGGAAGTAGGTTGCAGCGCAAAAGAAAATTGTGAATCAAGTCCATGAAGCAGATCTGTTGGATAAATATTTTATCCAAACCAGAGAGTTAGCAGTGTTTAGGTGGTGTTTCGCACAAAATCATCTGGATAACCAAAATGGAAGAAGATACATATTTTGCCTATGCACTCGACCTTAAGGTGCTTTCAACACATTTTTTGAAATTTCAAACCTTCAGCGCTAATAATATAAGTGGAAAAATGTTTTAATAAAAACATGAACAAGAGTGTTTATGAGCCTTGACCATGTTGTGTTGAAAATATCTCATAACACACTTTCAAGTTCCAGGTTGACTTTAACACCTATTAAAAAGTCAGTGAAAACACAAAGAAAGATGCAATAGAAAGCAAGGATGTAGCGTGATGGGTCAATGAATGAGCTAAGGGGTTCACACAGAAGATCTAAAGAGAGATAAGGGCTTATGGTGTTTAATGGAGGGGAAGTGCTTCTATGGTAGCAAGTCTCACTCCTGGTGGGGAATTACCTGCCCAAAATAAATAAAAAGTCAAATAAAATATCGAATTAGGGGAAACAAAGGATGGGAATGGCAACGGCAACAGGAGGGTGGAAGCTCTGACAAACCTGGCATCCTCAACCTCTTCCACCACCACCACCACCACCTCCTCCCTTTCCTCCCTCTCTCTCCTCCAACAGCTGCTGGAGTCTTCAGGGAGGGGTGAAGTGTCAAACGAGAGAAGGAAGCAAGAGATGAACGAAGGAAGGAAGAATGGAGGGAAGAATGGTCAGAGGAAGCTCTGTGTACTGGAAATCCCACCCTGTATCCCCCCTAAAGTGCCCCACAGCACAAATTTGATCATTTGTAACCTGGAACCTCTGATCAGTCTTTAATACTGTTGTAGATTTCTCATGATGAATTACTCCTTGCATTGACGTTTATCAGCACTACAATACGGTCTAATTAATTAATCTACATTAAAAATTTTAAATTAGTAGATTATTGAATGCTTCATGTCTATAAATGAAGTCAAAATTTCATTTAAGCACTTATTAGCTGCACTGTGTCTCAGTTTAGAAATTATGACTAATGGTCCACAGGCCTTTAAATATGGATGTTCCAATGCATAAAATCCTATTTCTTAGTAAAGTCAAACTGACTTCTGGGTGAAACATTCAGTGATATGTTTTTGAAATATTTGGAATGGTTTAGGATAAAAATCACAAGATAATATCAGTTTGAAACGTATTCAGATGTATGCACACCTGTAACACCACATCCACTCAGAAAAAAACAATTCTAGATCAGTGACAAATGACAGTATGTCTACATCAGTCTTATTACCTTTTCTTTTTCTTTTTTCTCGTTTCTTTAGTTTCTCCAGGTCTTTCTTGGCAAGTTCAATGATGTCAGAAGTCTCCTTCTCAGGGGCCAGCACCGTGGAGGAGAAGGAGCCGGTCCCTCCGTAGAACGACTGACGATTGGAGGCACGAGACAGATTCTTCCTCAAATGCTCATTCACAGCCTCGCTTTCCAGGAGTTTGGCCCTGAGGGTGAAATCCATGGACACAAACAGGAGGAACACACATATGACCAAGGGTAGAATTTGAAAATATACCATCAGTATTGTTATTCGTACATACTCTTAAGGAGGAGCCCAAAAGCATTTTCCAAAAATGTTGTCTCTATTATTTCCATGCCTCCTCTTGCACTCCTTTATGTCTCTCACTAAAAAGGTACATATTTATGACTTACAGTCCAAAAATACTCTAGAGACTGAAGTATGAAGCACATTGGGCTGAAAGGCCAATGGGATTTCAGCAAAGTTTTTGAAAATGTTTGTTTCTTTTCTTTCCGTCTCCTACCCACTTCTTTCATAATCAGCGCACGTTAAATCAATGTAAGTACTATTAACAATTTGACACATCTTTTATATTTGCTTACAAGTCATAAAACATTTAAAGAGTAATTTGAGAGGAGGAGGCCTTGGTCCATAAGTGGATCGTGTAACCAACTGTATATCCAGTATAAGGCAAAAGAGAAACAGCAAATGGGACAAAAAAACTGCATCAACTGTGTTCCAGCTCCATGCAACATACTACATCTATGTACATTTCGTATGCAGTGCATTCGTACTGGAAAAGTAACAAAGTTAAGTATAATCAAAGACATTGAAATGCACAGAAAATTATCCTGTTGGTGGACACTATTGTCCCACACTAGTGTCTAGAAGTCTGAAGATGTCAAAACTCCAGCAACACTTGTAGCACGAAGAACGACTTTTAGTCAAACCACTGTGTTCTGACTTCATCAGGCAACAAGCTGAAACAAGTTGTTCTTTGTCCACCAAGTGTTGCTGAAGTTGACCTCTACAGAAAACAAAAAAACCCCCAAAGCAATAAATCTTAAAATTTACAAAAATGTTTTGTGCACAAACTAACAAATAACCTGTATAAATTATAAATAAGTATAACTCTATTATACCCCACAGAGTAAGTGCCTACAATAGAACTGAGGCACAGTTAGCATTCACAAAAACTACTGTTAGAGTTGTTTACCTGAGGTCTTCAATCTCTTTGATGTAACTCTGAATCATGTTTCCAATTTCTTCAGTTCCGCCTTCACCTGGAAGAGAATCAAGACAATTTTAGATGAGAAAAAGGAAAAGAAAAATGGCTTTTCTAACCAAACTAAATATCTTTCCTTCATAACAGGTAACAAAATTATCTGGCAGAACACTTATTTTCCAATACTCAAAAGCCTGCGTGTTCCAGCTTACCTGCCCTGGCGAGGGTCTGGTTGGCCTGGTCACTGAGCAGCTGGGTGAGCCGTGCCCTCTGGGCATCAATGGTCTCTTGCATGGCCTTCACTCTCACCCTCAGGTTGCTGTTCTCTGTCAGCAGCATGGAGTTCTCGTGGAACATGTCGCTAAAGCTCTCAACACCATCCTCACCCGACATGCGTTTACCCTGCAGGGGGGAGGACAAGACATGTTTTTGACTCCTCCCTTTGACATGAAATATTAGGTTAATTATTTTAATTTCATTTTTTCAATGCAATCCCTGACCTCTGAACTCCTCCTCTCTGCTTACCGTCTTGTACTCCATCAGCTCCATCTGCAGTCGAGCAATCTCTGTCCTCAGAGCGCTGATCTGCTGGCTGGCTTTGTCCTGGTTCACCATCACCTTGTTCTTGATGTTCCGGGCTCGGTTGGCGTACTTTAATGTGTTCAGAGTCTCCATGAAGTCACGGTCAGACGGGCTGATGCATGCGATCATCACTGTTTGGCTGAGACAAGAAGGAGGCGGATATTTATTGAAGGGGTCATATTATGCTCATTTTCAGGTTCATAATCTTATTTAGGGGTTGTACCAGAACAGGTTTACACGGTTTCATTTTCAAAAAACAGCATAGTTTTTTTGTCATTCAGCACATTGCTACAGCTCCTCTTTTCAACTTGTGTGTTGAAGGCTTCGTTTTAACTATGGTGTGATGCCATGATCTTGCCTCTACATGATCTTTGTTGGGAGTTGCACATGCACAGTTCTTTGTAAAGGACTATTAGCCAATCAGAAGCAGAGTAGGGCGGGCCCCGAGAAGCTGGTAAACACGGCTTCGGTTCAACTGTATATCCCCTTACCAGCTTATCAACATGGACTGGAGCAAGAGTTTCTGAGTGGTGAGTTATTAATCTGTAACAAAAGTATCTTTCATCCACAAAGTTTTAACTGAGCGCTGTCTCTACATCACAGGAACAACTTTATGTCCACTGACTGCCTGGAGGGTAGCTAGTGTTTGGAAGGGAGAGGAGAGCTGTGTGCTGCAGCTCAGTGTTTTTCCACCGGTGTTTTTGAGGGCGTGTCGACTGGCCGCTTGGCGAGCGTTATGACTGTTTTGCATTTTACTGTGTTGTCACAGGGATGGAAGGGAAGCGGCTGACTACAATTGAGCTGTTTTCAGGCAGTTCAGAGCAGAGTTTTCTGAGGGAGATGGGAACTCACTTTGGGCTGGACTTAGGTTAGCAAAGTGAAAAAGCCCAATTACATGCACAAAACAGAAATATAGCTCAATAAAGCAGAGGGAAAGAGGGAAAAAGCTAAAAAGCATAATACCACCTCTTTAATGTGTGGTTCAGCTGCACAATTCTGACAAAAACTAATACAACTTGATGTATGATACATTTCAATTTGAAACATTTGAAAAATAAGAATACAAAAAAACTACTTTAAAGCATAAAAGCTTAGGTGTAGGTATGCTCTAGAAAGTGGATCTTCCATTTTCAAATGTGGAAGAATCAGTGATAATATTTTCTGTTCAGTACATTATTAATGAGCCATCTTAAAAGGTCTTCCATTGGATTTATATCAATAGTTTGCCTGCATTATTCTCAAATATTGTATATTTCACCCACTGTTTTGCATATGCATT